TCCCTCACCTCCCCCTCCACTGTCCTCCCCTCCCTTCCGCTCCCTCACACAGTACATTGACGCGTTGCTGTGTTGTATAGGTGACCGGTTGCTTGCGTCTGCGAGCAGGGACCGTCTCATACACGTGTTCGACATGGACGAGGACTACGCGTTCCAGCAGACGCTCGACGACCACTCAGCGTCCATCACGGCCGTGCGCTTCACGCAGGCGCCGCAGAGCGAGCTGAAGATGTTCAGCTGCTCCGCCGACAAGTCGATCATATTCCGCACGGCGCACTACGTGAGTGTCGGTGGGAGGGGGAGGGGAGGGGGCGTGTGTGTGTGTCTGAGGAGGGGCGTGTGTGTGGGAGAGAGTGTGTTTGAGTGTGTGTGTGGGAAACAGAAAGAGAGAGAGCGTGTGTGTGTGAGTGTGCGTATGTGCGTGTGTGCGTGTGTGGGGGTGGGAGGGTGTGAGCAGGCGGGCGGATATGCGTGTGCACTTGTCACTGCCTATCAGTGTCTGTCTGTCTGCCTGCATGCATGCATGATTGTCTCATTGGTATTTCCTTACGTGAGTAGTGAGTGTGTGTATACGTGAGTGCGTGCGTACGAGTGTGCGTGTGTGTGTGTGTGTGGGAAAGAGAGATAGAGCGTGTGTGTGAGTGTGTGTGTGTGCGTGTGTGTGTGAGAGAGAGTGTGTTTGAGTGTGTGCGTGCGTGCGTGCGTATGTGTGTGAGAGAGGGTGTGTTTGAGTGCATGCGTGCATGTGTGCGTATGTGTGGGAGAGAGAGTGTTTTTGAGTGTGTGCGTGCGTGCGTATGTGTGTGTGAGAGAGTGTATTTGAGTGTGTGCGTGCGTGCGTGCGTGCGTGCGTGCGTGCGTGCGTGCGTCTTCACATTCCTACAGAATGTTATCATTCGGTTGCTTGATGTTTCGCCGTGTCATCTCCTCGCAGCAGCCGGACCTGCAGTTCGTTAGGAACCACCACGTCTTCGGCAAGACGACCATGTACGACCTTGACATTGACCCGACCAGCAAGCACATCGTCACCGCGTGTCAGGACAGAAACATCAGGTAAGCTCCGAGGTGCATGATGCATGACTAGTCGTCAAAGACCTTGACGCGTCTCTCTGGTTTGCTCTCGGCGACAGAAGTGCGACTGGTCGCGGCTTGGAAATTTCCAGGGCACGTTGTGACACAGTGGGTGACGTTACTGACACTTGTCACCTTTTCTCTCTCGGTGACAGAAGTGTGACAGGGAATGGTATTGGAACTGTCAGGGCGTGTTGTGACACAGTGGGGAACTTTAATGATACTTGTCACCTATTCTCTCTCGGTGACAGTAGTGTGACAGGGCGCGGCTCGGGAATCGCCAAGGCACGTGAAGTGGAACAGAAAATCTGGAGACCAGGTTATGAGTCCATCGTTTTGCGTTTTGTTGCAGGGTGTACGACATCGCGACGGGAAAACAGAGGAAGTGCTACAAGGGTTCGACGGGAGAAGATGGAGCCTTGATCAAGGTACTCGTGCTCCGAACGCTACTGCCCTTCACAGAGCGTAAAATTAGCACCAGCATGGGCCAGCAAATTATTTGGAGGGCCAGTAACATTGGCAAAACGCCGGCCCTCCGAGCCGGTGGTTTCAGCCGTGTTAGCGAGTACCTACATGTCTATTTATAGCATTAATGAGCAAATAGCCTACAATACTGTTTTACATGAAGGATATCACGCCATAATTTATCAACATTTTACAAATTTGAAATCGAGAATGCCGGTGCTGGTGCAAAAAACCTTATTTTTATGCCCTACCTTCCTACTTCATGTTCTTTACGTGGGTAGAAATGTGAAGGTAGCACCAATAGAAATTGGTCCACGGTGCTGGCTGTGGTGAACTGCACGTTGGGTGGGCGACGAGATCGATTATAATCGTTAATGAGTGGTCGTGATTGTTATGAAGCGATTTCGTTCCTTTTATCCTCTCATCCTGTACTTCTCTATTATCTACTATTCCTTTATTATCGCTCATTGGTCATGCCCCTTTGTCCTTTATTTCTATGTTATATCTTTGGTTATTTATTCCCACATTCCTCATCCCTCTATTATCCTTTATTCTTATATTATCCTTTATTCCTCTAATGTCTGTCATCACTCTATTATCTGTCATTCCTCTACTATCCCTCATCTCCTCTCTCATTCTTCTATCATGTATTATTCCTCTCATTCCTCTACTGTCGCCCATCCCTCTACTATCCCTCCCATCCCTCTACTATGCATTATTCCTCTCACCCGTGCTTGCTTCTCATTGTTGTCGTGTAGCTGAGTCTGGATCCGTCGGGTCTCTACATCGCGACTAGCTGCTCCGACAAGAACATCTGTCTCTTCGACTACTCGTCGGGCGAGTGTGTCGCCGTCTCCTACGGTCACTCTGAGCTGGTCACCGGCCTGCGCTTCACCAACGACTGCAAGAACCTCATCTCAGTGTCCGGCGATGGGTGAGCGGAAGGGGTCAAGGTCAGGGTGAGGTTGTGCCAATGTCAAAGATTCGGGGCGGAATAGTCGAGGGCTGGTGTCTGGTCAACGTGATCGCGAAATTGACGACGTCACCGCTTCGTGATCGCAATCCGACGACGTCGCCGCTTTGTGAGCGCGCATTGCAATGACGTCACCGTTCTTTGCTTGCAGACGCCGTCGGCGCACTGCCTCAGCGTCGGCTCCGACTACATATTCTGCGGCTGCTCGGACGGCATCGTGCGCGTGTTCAGTCCCTTCACACTGCACTTCATCGCCACGCTGCCCCGGCCACACTACCTAGGCGTCGACGTCGCCGCCGGACTGTCGCCGAGGTAACGCCGTCGCCGCGCGAGGGGGGGGGGGTTAAATTGGAATCGACCTTGGTGTTAATGTTTGTCTTAACGTTAGTCTCGACATTGATTTTAATGTTTATCTCAACTTTATGCAAGTCTGTGTGAATAATAAGTAAACTAGAAGTGAAAATACTATTATGCCGAATAATACAATTAAATAGTAACATTGAGAGAGAGAGGGGGGGTGAAGAGAGATCATGTAGGTGAGTAGTGTGCTCTCTCTCGAAGAAAATCCGTTTTGAATGTGGGCATTCACAGAAGCTTCAGTGTGTAACAGTAAGCTGTGTGCACAGGGCCGTAGCTGACAGTAAGCAGCTGCAATGACAAAGCTGCATATAACATTCCTCTATGATTGTCAAAAAGCTTCGACTTGCGCCGATAAGCACATGTTTTTGTGCCTGTCCTCCATGTAAAGACGAGTATATGACATATGACACGCATATAGACAAATATAAATTCACAGCCATAAAACAATTATAAGTTTTATTCGGCAGGTATCATGTTTAATGGCCTGATTTATGTGGGCAGGGTGTTTTTAAGTTGCTGCCGCCGCCGTCGCTGCGCGCTATGTGCCGACCAGGAATTTATTCGGCGTGTTTCTTCTTGCATTTCAGTCACATGATGAACCCGCCAGGAAAGGCGAGATATCCAGACACGATCGCCGTTTCCTTCAATTCTAGACTTAACCTGGTGAGCATTCGGCTTTATAACAACTAAATGCATTTGGGTTTGGACATGGCAGACTATAAGATGGGTCACTGCAGTCAGTGGGGTGGTCAGTGCTGTACCCTTATGCGTAGAAAGGTACCTAAAGAGTTCTCACTTATATATCACTTTAGAAGAATGAGATGATGAGTTAAGTTTAGTCAAGTTAATTAGTAATTAAGATTACCTTTTTCAATTTCATTTCACGATCTGGCATTCCTTCACTTAAATTCGGTCGAAAAAAGGGAAAACGAATGTTCTCCGTGTTGAAAAAAATGGGCGAAACGCAGGAGACTGGATTCGGAGACAGCCGGTGATCTTGTGTTTCATCTGCAGGTGACGTGCATGTATGCTGATCACAGCGCCTATGTGTGGGACGTCACCAATGTCAAAAAGGTTGGCAAAGTGTGGTCGGCCCTGTACCACAGCGGCTGCATATGGGGAGTCGAGGTAAGCCTTACGACGCACGCACGCACGTACGCGGTCATAAGACAGTCGACTCTAGACCCTATGCAGTCCTTCACAGTTGTGCTACACGTAGAAAACCTAGTCGCCTCTGAAAATCTCATTGCTTTTGGAAAATCTGTCTAGAAAAACCTCGTGCCGAAATCTCACCGTCCGTGAGTCATTCTTCGTCGCTGTCCCTCGAGCGTAACCAAGTCCGTAATAGACCGGCTTCTTTGCAGTGCCGACGGTACTTCTTTTGTTTGTGTGTACCTGTGTGGATGACTGTCGTGTGTTGCCTGCCTTGGCAGACGTACCCCGATCTGAGTCTATTATAGATCGTCTTCCTTGCAATGCCAGCGGTAGTTCTCTTGTACTCGTGTGGATGACCGCCATGTCTTGTTTCTGCAGACGTATCCTAGCACGGGGAGTCCATAATAAACTGGCTTCCTGCAATGCCGACACAACATCTCTTGCTCCAATGTAATGTACTGTACTGTAATGTATTGTAACTTGTGTGTTGCTTTGGCAGACGTATCCCGGCGCGGGGAGTAAGAGCATGCTGCCTCCCGGCACGTTCGCGACCTGCTCCAGCGACGACACGGTGCGATTCTGGAACCTGGAGACACACATGAGCAACGAGACGAGCTACAAACGCAACATCTACAGCAGTGTACGTACATACGCATGATAATGCACGCACGCACGCACGCACGCACGCACGCACGCACGCAC